CTCTCTCTCTCTCTCTCTCTCTCTCTCTCTCTCTCTCTCTCTCTCTCTCTCTCTCTCGTATCGATTCACGCGACGAACTGAACGATACGGCTGCACGAAGTGTTTTACGGCGTTTGCGGCCCTCGAAGCAGTAGGTCAGCGCGATCCGCGTGAACTTTGATCTCCCCGTGCAAGCCGAGATGTGCTATTTGCACTTCCGGCAATTCTTTCACCCACCTCTAATACAGTGTATTCACATTCGCGCGAGAATTACAAGAATTCTCTCAACTTACAGCATCTGTGAAATTAAACGACAAATATACGTTTATTAATTCCGTATCTCTTTCGTTGCTCATAAAATTCATTAAATATTTCTGTCCCCGAGTTACATGGAGATAAATCTAAACGTCGATACGTATATTTCATCTCGCCAACTGCTGATTGCACTTACAATTTTTTTTACATATATTTCTCCGGTGTAGTAAATACATCATATTTCTTTTTGTACTTTTACGAGATGATTCATCAAACGTTTTTCTTTTTACATATTTCCTTCGATGAGAAAGATATGATATTCCGCGGAATGCGGAATTGACGGATTCCGACGTAATCGTCATTTACACGAGCACGTTTGCGCGTCGATTAATAATTAACTCACGCTTGATCGACGCGTCGGGCTAAGCGCGCGTAGATTAAACTCGTCATTTCCGGAATCCCGACCGAGAGCTCGCATGTACACATGTACATACGAGACCGCGCGGTTGAAGGCGCAATAAAGAAAGAGGCCGGAGAGCGCGGCGATAGACAGCCCGTTCGATAATTTTATGCCCATTAAAAGCTTCGCCTAACTCTCAACTCTGTAAACTCGATATATTAAATTTTATTACAAAACACACGCGCGTTATAACAGTATTACAAGCAAACAAGTCTAAACGTGCGTGCGGTTCTCTCTATATCATCCGCACATTATACATTTTGCTTCCGCTGATAATTGATATTGAAACATAAGACATGTAACGGAGATTTAACGTTGAGAAACTAAATGGTTTTTAATTAGTTTGCAAAAGTTATTAACGTATTAAATATATATATTCCGCAGATTTGATTTTTCAAAGTTTATATATCAAAAATCGACTCGATGTTAAGCAACTTTTCCGGAATGTTGTCGCTCGAGAGAGCGGCGACACAGTACGCGCGCTCCTAACTCCGATACCCTTGTAAGATAATTCGTGAGAATGTCAAGCACCTGGAGCAGAGACTTGGAGAACTACTAAGTGTCGGCTTCAATGTGCGCTTACAACTTTCTTTCGATTTATGTATATGTGTTCGCAAACCGACATGATTTGTTGTTTCGAATCACGTGTCAATAGAAAGAGCGACAACCGCTTTCTCGAGGATGGATTTCTCTTTTTCGCTGATAAATGGTTGGCAATTAAGAATAATTATCTTAAATTAATAATGAAGAATAATTATCTTATTTTTTTTCCGTAAATATCCAAAAGATCGTTCGATAATCCGCGATGATCGGACGATCTCGAAAATTATTCGCGCGCGCGCACACACACACACACATACACACACTCGTAACGGAAACGATACGGGCGAAATAGCCGGCAACGCGCGTAATGATACGTCTCGCGCGCGGGATGACGCGCGCGCTCTCCATCACGGATTCATCGAACGTACGTGCCGCGGGATCCCCGGGCGTTAATATCGTGATAATTAAATCACCGCCGACTTTACGACGCGCCTGAATACCAATCAGTCAGCCGAGCACAATGATTACGTCTCGTTAAGGATCGCTCGCTGGTGCTGCATAGGTGACATTTAACCACCCCTGGGTTATTCAGACCGGGCATTCCACGTAAAGGTGTAATGTAACTTCACCTCATATACCGAATACGCATCTTCGCGCGATGTAACTAGGAAGAAGTATAAACAATCCGTCGAACCGGTAAATAATAAGCTGACATTACGGCGAATTTACGAGTCGATAATTGAAACCATCTGAATATCGCGGTTTGATGCTCGTCGTACAACAGTGGTTTTCATGAGGCCCCGCGCGTACGAAACTCAGACACGGCCGCAATTTCTCTCGACGACGATGTTCCCGCGCACAAACGTTGTTTTGTTCGCGTTCTTTCTTTTCAAACGTTTTCAAACTTGATTGAAAAAAAAAAAATTGTCACAATTTAGATCTTATCCCGAAAAGAAAAAGATCGTAAAATTGAAAATCGAAACTCTCATTTGGCGCGTCCTCATCTTCTTGTTTCGCTCGAACGCAATTATACGTTCGCGCGCGAACTTTCAAACGTGCGCTTTGGAAAATAAAATGTCGATATTGCGCGGAGCGATGTACAGCTTTTGTTACTACAAAACAGAAGCGCACGTAATTGGAAAAGATTTCAATCAATAAATATGACAAGCAGAGAAAAAAGTGGCTTGAAAGCCACTGGTCGAACGGTTTATCTACATCGCAACCCGTCATTCGTCGAATCGATGCATTCACTGTCGGCTCTCAAAGCGCATCAATTCCCGCGCGCGGAATACGTGCGCCACATGCTAATGCACCTCTTTCTTCTCTTTCTCTCTCTATTTCTCATTCTCCCCTCCCCTCTCCCTCCCTCCTCGCGTTAGAACCGCGCGCGAGAATATGTTTGCGCGTTGTGGCGTGCACGCCGAGCATTTCCATCGCGCGTATTCCAACGTCCCGATGTGCGATAATTAGTCGCTTCGAACGGAGCGAGAGATTCGAATCGGGTCTCTCCTCCCCTGCTCGAGATCGGAGATTCGCGCATCGAGATTTGTCGCGCTTCCGCTCGTTTTAGTCCGCGCGCGATTTCGCGCGGCATTAGCGCGTGAGTTAACACGCCTTATTAATCTCAATCCCGGCGCTTAAGAGACACGGTCGCTCGCGCGCGAACCGGGAAAACGCGCGCGCGCACGGAGCGCTCTCTGATCCTCTCGTGCGTGCGTAATCCCGCGCGATGTTCTGCTCGCGCTGCGCGCAATTAAAATCAACGATATCTCCAGGAAATTACGCACACGTGACAGTTACGCGTACCTCGCGATTATTGAATCTTTGTAAGCGACGTGCGCGAGAAGTTTATGTCGTCGTGTTAATGGTTTGCGATTCTTTTTTTTTTTTTTTTTTCAAGCGTTACGCCGCGGTAGCGCGGAAGAATCACGACCGACCGGAGGACCGGTCGACGTAAAAAAGATCGCGTTCTCTTCGACTTTCTTCCCAGAAACGGCGATGGAACGGCTCGACGTTTCCCCGAAAAACGCGTGGACTCATTGTTAGCTAAACGCCGGGAAAACGCCCGTTAGACCGGGAGAACCTTTCGGAGACAAAGGTTTGTGAGAAGCTGGTGTGTTAATTGCGCGGTTTACGGAAACCGAGCGACCGGATCGTAAAGGCCCCTTCGTGTTTTAAACAACGATAATTGACGGGTGAGGTTCCCATGAAGGAAAGAAAACACGACTCTCTGTCGGAGATAGCGCGGCGTATTCTTCGTTGTGTGTTCCACTCTTCGTGCGCAAAAAAAAAAAAAAAAAAGCTAGGAGAAATGTTAATGTTCCGTTTTGAAAAGACGCTTCGAGAGAAGTCTGGAGAGTAATGTTTCACAGATACCTACGTGTGCGCGCGTGTAATGGTAATGTAATTTATTGCTCGAAACGATGTATACGTTAACTATAATGCTCGTATAGAATCAATTTAAACAACACAGTAAATTACGACGTAGCAAAGCGCCTTATACAGATATAATAAGCAAGGACGTATTGAATTTTAAATAAAAACTCAATTTTCGCATCAAGTCTCTTCTATCGATTTCAATTTTTATGCCATTTGCTCTTCCGATCGTCAAAATATATACTTATTACCATGTCTATTTACTATATTTTTCTTTCGCATCGATCAACAACGTCTCTCCAATCTCTTGTCCGGTTCTTTTTATCTTTCCGCGTGTTATAACCTCCCCCCACCCCTCTCCTGACTATCTCATTTAAAAAGGGAGAAAGGAATTATAGTTATCTCGAGTTAGAGCGCCCAACCGATCTCGGAAGGGAAACCGACGCGGCATCTAACGAGCTATTGATTAAGCGACTCATTTATAAATATGACAGCGTTAATTACGAGCATTATATCGATCGCGAATCGAACGACGCCGCGAATTAATGGCGGTCCGGATTTAGCCGAAGTAGCGCTCTTCGAAGGTGGGACGGAAAGGCGGCAATTTCTTACGCGTCGGATTCTAGCTTTTAACGCGAGCCAGCCGCACATTTCTGCCGCGCTTAATTAAACCCGATGATTAACCAACTAACCGACCGTCCGCGCGGCCCTCTCTCTTTCTCTCTCTCTCTCTCTCGTCCCTTTAACATAAATCGCTGATTTGCAAACCCAATAACGCTACACGTCTTTGCGGTATCATCAATTAGCCGATCGAATTTCTCAATCGTCGACCTAACACTTCAGAATGTCCGTTCTGATTGTGATTAAAATTCAGAAATTCCAATTCCTATGTCTGACGTTACCTTACTTCCTACTATAGGTAATCTTTCTTTGATAAATTTTATTTGTCGGAGTTTCAGAATCCGCGACACATGAGTAATTTTCATCTAAAAGCCAGTCTTCATTTAAAATTCAAATTTTCTTAAAAACACCAAAGATTGAAATGACACAAAAATATCGAAGTCCCGAATTCGATATCTTTATTGTGAATTTACACATAAAAAATATGTAAATCACCAATTTTATCTAAAGGAATTTGACACGTCGTTAAAATGTCTGAAATGTCTTAATTTGCAGGAGAATCCATTTTTTTAACCTCTTTTTTCTTGTTGGCTCAATGTAGTTCTTTGACCTATTAAATCGGAGGATTATTCAATAATTAACAAATGCGCATGGGGGGAGGGGGGGGAGGGCGAGATCGCAGGCGCGACTAAATTGCGCGCTCGCATGGCTTGATTGCAGGACGTGGCGCACCGCGCGTAACCGCGGCTCTCGTGGGCGATGGAGAAGGTAGGTTGACCGCCACCCCAGTTCACAGGGAGAACATCGCCGCGAGAAGCAAAGAGGATCTCGCACAGGAGGCGGCTCTGGTTCTGCAGCAAGCGGGCAGTCTTCATTGCGTGGCGCGCGACAACCGACGTCTGCCCGGTCGCTTCAGCACCTTGCCGGCGCGTCGCGGCAAGAAACGTCCGGAACTGCCGATCGATGTGAGATCCCGCCGTGGCAGCGAGGAGATCGAAGCGGATCTCGGCACTCCGCAAACGCGAAGGAAGTCATTGGAAAGAAGCGCCAGCGATGCCGGCGCGAAGAAGCTGAAAGGCTCGATCTCGCGTTTCTTCTCGCCGAAGTTGGAAAGGCGACAGAAGCCGGTTGGTCGAAGCGCGAGCGACGCCGGCGCGTGGACGCGCACCGGCAGTGCGCAACGTAAGCGAAGCGGCAGCGAGAGCGAGGAGTCGCACCTGAGCACCACTAGCCAGCGAGCGAAGAAACAACTGTCACCGATAATCGAAGCGTCGCCGCATCCCGATCAGCAGCCGTTTCATTTCGGCACCGCGGATCCAAAGAACAACAACAATCGACCGGAAAGTGGGACGAAGAAGCGGGACGAGAAGAGTTTGACTACCGATGTCGTAGACGACGTGATATCGCGGAACATCGAGACGAGAGAGACGAGCGAAGTGCGCGTGGAAGAGTCGATCGGTAGTAGATCGCCCAGTAGAGAGGCCAGAGTGATCGAACATCGCATATTCGTCGAGGGTAGGGACGACGAAGAGAAGAAGGAGATTGAGCGGAAAACCGTGGGAATCAGTCGTACTCCGTCGCCTTCGAAAGAGTCGAAACGCGGAGTGGACGAAGTTGACGAGATCGGCGCGAATAGTATGCTACACAATAGCCGCTACAATCTTCAGCAACGCAACGAAGAATCCACCATCCACAAAATGATTCACCGACTGTCCAACGACCGTTCCCCGCCGCCGCAGCTCACCAGAACGATGGTGTCGCCGTCGCCGGGATTCGGCCACAACAACAATCGGCCGTTCTCCTACACCAGACCGAACGAGTCCTCGCCGCCGCCGCAGCAGACCAACGTCATCTACGCGCAAGTTCAACCGGACAAGAAGAAGGCCCAGCGAAGTCACTCCGACAGCGACGAGGGTCTCGGTCTCGAGAGGAAGGACTCCTCCCGCGAGAACAGTCCTGCGGAAAAGGAATATCGCAGGACCGATTACTCGTACAGTAGCGATCTACGTCGCAACAACGAAATCAACAGTTTCAAGTCGAGATACGAGGACGACCGGAAGAACGGCGGCGGTCCCTTTGGCAAACACTTAAGCAGTTCGAAAGATTTCATAAACAGAACGAGCGAAGCGACGAGACGTCACGAGTTCGACGAGATCAACAGACGTCTCTACGACAAGCCCGAGAAGTACACCTCGACTGTGTTCGTGGACACTTCCGCTCGGGGCAGAGCCGACGGCATGGACTCCAGACGAAGAGACAGCGGCGAGTCCCGACCGAACGATAGCGGGATCTCGCCGAAGACGTCCGAGCTGAGCGCTCGGCGGGATCTGTTGGAGTCCAGGATCAAATCCAGGCTGCTGGCCGACGAGATGTTCGCCGCGAAGAACAGCGCCAATGTGCCGGTGAAGAAATCAAGCGAGCACGAGATCATTGACAAGCCGATCGTGCCGTCGCCAGTAACGCCGAATCGGATCGCGTCACCGAAACGATACATGGACACGTACATAACGGAGACGCGCACGAACAGCAACGGCGAGAAGTACATCTTCGAGAAGGAGATACACGAGGACAACGGCAAAGTTTACGGCTACGAGAAGAAGATCACCAACAAGATCCCGACGAACGGTTACCTCGACGCGAAACCGAAGGAGGGTTACACCGTGGAGACGAGAACGGACAAGTACGGTGATAAGTACATTGTGGAGACGCGAACGCACGAGGGTTACACCGACAACTTCAAGCCGTTCCTCAGCGATCGTAGTAGGAGCAGTCCGGAAGAGAGGTTCCAGACCATCAGAAACGGCGGCAGTCCCTACAAGTCTTCGCAGTATCTTTCCGAAGGAACTACCCCTACGACCACGAATCACTTTCGCAGCGAGTCGCGGGAAAACGACGAGCTGTCGTCGCCGATTATCGCGAAAAAACTGAACGAGCGCAAGTTCTCGAAGAGCGACGATTTTTTGGACCGCGACAGCCGGCCTGTCGGTCGGGACGCGTATCTGCCGAAAACGAAAAAGAACTTCGAGTCGATTCGCGGCATAAGCAAGTCAACGCAACGACTAGACGAAGTGGGCGAGAACGCCAGGGTGCGGGCGCTCAGAAGCGAGTACACCACGAGATCGCACGAGAATCTGAGCAGCCACGCGGATTACATGAATGCGCGAGACGTGAGGCGTTCGAGCGCGTTGCTGAACAGCCCGACGATGAACGGGCGCAAGGAGAGGTCGCCGTTCGCGAAACGTCACCTGGACAGCCTGCGCGAGGGCCCGAACGACGATTACGACACCGACATCTCGCAGATGACCAGCAGTCAGCTGGAATCCAAGTACTATAAGGAGACTCGCACCACGCAGAGGTACACGAGCAACAACAAGCATCCGATTCACGACGATTACGACAGTTCGCCGCCAAGAATACGCACCGATCGCGGTGGATACAATTCCAGCCGATACGACTCGGACACCACCGCCAAGGATTCGATTCGCTGCGAGGCGCGTTACGACGAAACGCGCACTATGAGAAAGGAACACCGCAAGCTGGACGACGATCCAAAAAAGCCGCTCAGACGATCGCGAAACCGACTAGATTACTTCGACGATTCCGACAGTCCGCGAGGAAAGGTATCATCGATCAGCAGCCGATTGGAGACCTTCGAAGAGAGTCATCCGACCAGGCCGCCCAGGACCTATCATGAGGGCAAGTCGAGACACGCGAGACAAGAAGTGCGCGGATACACCGAGCGTCGTCATCGCGAGACCAGGTTGAGCGATCCGGATCGCAAGGACCGGCTGGCCGATTCCGGCATCGAGAACGATTACCGAAGAGACTCGCAGGAAGCGGACAGACGCGAGCAGCTCGAGTCCGAGGACGAGGGTTTCGTCAGTCGGCAGTTCATCAAACACGAACGACGACACACCGATCGCAACATGAACCTGACGTCCTCCGAGCAGCGCAAGTACGACAAGTACGACTTGTCGTCGAAGCCGGCGTTGGTGACCGCGAAACCGCCCTCCGGTGCCGCCGACAAGAAGTACGAAAAAAAAGCGGCGAAGAAGAGCGGGACCATGAGCAAGGTCAAGCAGCTGTTCAGCAAGAAAGAGAAAAAAGCGAAGGAAGAGAAGAGCAAGAAGAGCGTGAGGAGCGGCAGCAGCGGCGCCTTGACCGACGACGAGGTGACCATGAGATATCGGGAGTACCGCGGCGATCAGCTGAGAAGCGCCAAGAGCGCGCGGGATTTGGGCAGCGACATCAATCAGGTAAGTTCATTTTTTCCTACCTACTTCTTCTTTCTCGCGGTCAGAGAGCCGCTCGGCGCGCGAGGAGGTTAACTAACTCTGGGTTACGGCCGAGCGCCGGGGTTACGTCGACGGTTGATGGCCGATGATTGATTGATTTTGGCGTACTCTCAGCCGGTGAATCGAGCGGTTAAGAGAAAGGTCGATGAATCGCGCCGATATATTGTACTGTATTGTTTGGGAAGAGAATTTCTAAACTGATGGAATGTCGTTAATTGCTTTTTTCAATTTTCTCATATACTTGAGGAGAAACGTTTGAGAAAATTGATATTTCATGATATTGCGAATAAAAATATCTCTTCGCGTTTGTATCGCACGTGTGTATCTTAACAATCGGAATTAAGCGAAATAAATAAATTTTCCTAGTTAATGTCGTCTTATAAAGAGGGAAGAGAAAATCTGAACGCGTGAGTTTATAAATTCTTGTTCATTTTGACTCAACATAGAGCAACGTATTTCCGGGATTCCCCCAAGATTCTTTTTCTCAACATTATCCGTTGCTAGATTCCGTTGACTAGAGAAATAACACGTACGGTAATATATCTGGACGATCGCGCGCGCGCGCTCAAGATCGTAAACGGTCGCGTTTTAGACATCGCGCGCAATTTCCGTTACTCCGAAAAGAGATATAAAAGCCGATACGACGTTAATCAGGATGACCACCGCGCGCGTGCGAATCGCCGAGCGTTACGTGATTCCGCCGTATTTATGCGATTGTCGCGGATTACTCGGAGACGCGGACGAGGAGTCACGCTTCCGCGATATCGGCCGTCGCGAATAATTTCCCGCGCGCGGTGATTTTTTTTTTTTTTTTCCGCGCGGCTTTAATCCGCCGACGACACCTTCGCCGGTGTGCTCGATACCGGTGCGCGCTACGAACCGGAAGTAGCGCCGGTAATTGGGCCCCAACCCGTTGCCGACTGCCGTTGCAATTGCGTCACGCCTAACTGTACACCTGGCCGGAGCCTTTAACCACCTAGCCGTGCAGAAAATCGCGCGACTTTAACTTAACGGGCGACCACGCGGTAGGATTACACTGCCGCCGCCCACACGATCGTGTGGAAGCGCTTTTCGGAATATCTCGCCGTGCGAACACACGCGCGCGCGCGCGCGGAACCGCGACAACGTAACGCGACACTCCTGCGAAACTGCCGCAGTGCACACGTGCGCTGCATCGACTCGGCGTGATGATAATGTTTGTTATTAATTCTCGCGCAACATTTTCCATCTCGGAGCTGGTGAGTTTGATTCATTTGCTACCACGACAATGGACAGTTACGAATGTTATTGTTATAGGCTCGAATCTTGCGCGCGATGGGCTCGTCGTCGATCTCGCGAGTTAAGCGGGATATAGAAGACTACACGTCGCTTCTCCGTAACGGAGCTTTCGCTGTCGGACGTCGTCGAGGTCCCGTATGAAGAGTAATGATACGCGCGTGCGCGATCATCGACATAAAAGCCCAGTGCCTCCTCTCTTAGGAAATAAGTCGGAGAATCTCGCGAGACTCGCACCGGACGTAACATTTAACCCGAATGATAGATAATTCTACGCCGTGGCCCGTGGCGATTTTTCCTCTCGCAATAAATCTCGGAACGTTCGCTCATTCCTCGATTGCGCAACACCGTCCGGACAGTTATTCAATTTCGCGAGAATTTAACGACGCGTTGCGGCGCGAACGGAATACAAAATGACGTTCGACGCGTGTAAAAATATATATATATATCAATAGAATATGGAAAATATATATATATATATATATATATATATATATATATATACACGTTGTGATTAATTGATCGAACGTAATGTATATTCCGATTGGCGCAATTCCGCCGCCAAGCGTCCCGGCCTTTAACGGGCAAGTCTCGGGAGAGTGACGGCGCTCTCGGCTCTAATTTCCCCGCGATCCTCTAACTCGATTACGCGCGAGAGAGCACGTGTTATTAACACGCGTTCTCGCCGCCGCGCTCATCCGAGTCGATTTACCGCGAGAGAGCCGCGGCAACGCGCACGGCGTTACGGCCGTAACGATTTGCGGCGTGGCGGCGAAGGTCGCGCCGGTTTCCAACGCGTGTTGCAAGCGCCCGGGTAACGGGCATCAGGTGAACGCACGAATATAAAATATCGACGTTATTATCTAATTAGACGAACACGCCGTAAATAACGACGCTGAGTATATCACGCTGCCGCTGCTGGCGTAGCAAAAGAGACGGAACAGAATTTACAGGCGCGCGCGCGCGTTGTTGCGCGATATTAGCACGCTCGCTCGTTCGCGGTTTTTTCGTCGCGAAGAGTCGAGATCATTGCCTGATGATATTGCGTTTATAATACAACAACAATCTCACGCCGCTAAAGCATCTCGTGAGATACTCACTTCCCCAACGCGTTGCGTTGCGTTGCGAATACTCGATTTATTGATTTCGTCACGGATCGAAATCGACGCGCGCAATTGTCCGAAAGAATCGGCGCGGTACAACTCGGCGAAGGACAGATATACAACGCGCCTGTGCGACAGACGTCGGTGAATATATATAGTTGGTGTATGTAGGTGCGCGATCGCGTCATCGATGAGAGATTAATGGACCACAGCGTGTCGTCCGACCGAAAGCTGCTTTCAAAAAAAAAAAAAAAAAAAGCGGAGCTACAATGGTAAGAGAAGGCGAGCGTGAAATGCGTCCGTGACGGTCTCACGGTGGGTCGGCGTGTCGTTACACAACGCGTTACACTACACGGCGCGTGTTGTGTACCGACACCGTCGTCGTTGTCGTCGTCGCTGCGGCGCTCTCGTGACAGGTGTTTGTGCGTGGTGCGCGAGTGAAGTGAACCGAGACGGCGTTTCGAATTTACACACTCCGCGAGCTATACGCGAACTAATGATCGTCTGGTCGCGGGTGTGTATACGTGATCGGGCGTATACACAAGTGCGACCCCGTTATTAGGGCATTTATCTCGTCGACGATCTATTTATTGAATCTAATTCGCGTTCTCTCGTTTCGCGTTCTCTCTTTTTCTCCCTTTCTCTCTCTCTCTCTCTCTCTCTCTCTTCTTTATCATTGCCTCTCATTATCCCCTTCGCCCAATCTCGCGCTCTCTCGCGCTCCGTTTTCTGTCATTCCGCCTCCGTGCGATCTCCGCCTCGCGCTTTTGCACTTCGTCATTAATCGCGGCCACGTCGCCCTGGGACACGACGAAACCCATTTGCTTCTCCCGCCGGTTCGATGGGCGAACACCACAGCCGACGCGTTTTCGCTCGTTCGCCGGCCATCGAAACATCGTATAACCCTTCTTCTCCTCCTCCTCCTCCTCCTCCTCCTTCTTCTTCTTCTTCTTCTTCTTCTTCTTGTTCGCCTTATATCCTTCTTTTCTCTCCGCTCTCGCCGAACGAGTTACACGACTAGGAGCAAACGGATCGCGGCGTGCACACCGACCGAGTAGTTGTCCGCCCGTTCTCGACGGAGACTTCGTTTTCTCACGCTGCGACCCGAGACTTCGTTGCGCAAGTGCGCAGCGCGAAATTTATTAAGGCGCTAAGTATCATTTTTCAAATGTGAAAGTCACGAGATCTTGACGAATTTTATTACACCGTTTAGCAATACAAATCCTTAGATTGTTTTCAACCGCACAACACATATCTGTGTTTTTATCTTTCTAAAATAAACAACATATTCTTTGTGGAAAAATATAATATTTTTATTTTGAAATAAAATTATACACAAAATATCAATTTCAATATATCCAGTCTTTTACAACTTCCTACGTACGTGTCGATATCTTCGTCGCAGGTGTCCGCGCGCGACTCGAGTAGCGTGTAAAGCTGGACGCGTCCGGCTGCGGCCTGGAGGCTATGCGCGCGCGAGATGATCGAGCATTATCGTATCTCGGGAACACCCACGCGCACGGCGACGAAGGTAAGAACGGGCAATAGTGTCGTGGTCGAGCGACCGACCCGATCCACACCCAGGTGCAAAGACACATGCTCTTTTGCGCGCGCGCGCGCGCGCATTTAAGCTTCACCGCCGCCGCCGCCGCCGCGTCGTGAACGGGGCTCCGCTTCGTTTCGCGGAGGCGAGGGTTGCTTTCGCAACGACCGCGTCGTCGGCGTAAAAGAGACCAACAACGTAGCGAAAGGAAGACCGAGACCGAGGCGAGCGGAGAGACAGGGGGGACGACCGAAGAGAGAAGCCCGCACAAAAAAGGCCCATTAACTCGCGTCGTAACCCGGCAGGAGAAGTGCGAATTCCCGTGGTGCAGCTCGCCTTATATACCGCGCTAATTAATAATAAATAGCCGTAAAACGAAAGGAGTATCCTTTATTTTCTACCGCCGACGCCGCCAGTCTCATCCTTCGTGACTGCGCTTTTTTAAATATAATAGCTTAACGTTTCTAACTCGACGAGAGGAGAAAGAGAGAGAGACAGAGAGAAATGTCTCGTTTAATTTCAGTGAAACGCAAGCGCGGTGCTTCCTACTTATGTAATGCCGACAATCGTGAATCATTCTAATGTCTCACTTTCGTCACGCTTATTCGAGGAACTTACGCGTTATCGCGTTGCACGTGGTCTTAACGTTAAATCATGCCTCCGTGGCGGAGTTCTGTGTGTATTGAGTTGTAAGTTATGTTAGTTCGCATAATCTCTGATTGTCCGTAGGGGATTTATCCGAGGATAGAATAAATCTGTCTATCTGCTTATCTATCTATCTACCTTGCTCGCCGATTAATACCGTCGTTTCGTGCGGTAGCCGTTCGGGACACAATATTGCTCACGCGTATATATGCGATATCCATATTGTGCCGGCATACAAGTGACGGAATGTCGCGCCCGGTGCACGCCTGCTTGTCCGGTCTCGTGTTTTTTTTTTTTTTTTAACCAAATCGGAAAATTCAATACCGTTCATAACTTCGCGTCGAGCACGCTGTGACCTTTGACTCATGAAGTTATCTCACCTCTATAAATTAATA